TATTGGCTGTGTCTAGACTGGCCAGTTTTTCCGGAAAATCAGCTGCTTTTCCGGAAAAACTTGCCAGCTGTCTACACTGGCCATTTGAATTTCCGCAAAAGCACTGACTTCCTACTGTAAGAAATCAGTGCTTCTTGCGGAAATACTATGCTGCTCCCGTTCAGGCAAAAGTCCCTTTTGCGCAAAAGCTTTTGCACAAAAGGGTGAGTGTGGACAGCTCAGATTTGTTTTCCGCAAAAAAGCCCCGATCACGAAAATGGCGATCGGGGCTTTTTTGCGGAAAAGCGCGTCTAGTTTGGCACGGACGCTTTTCCGCAAAAAGTGCTTTTGCGGAAAAGCGTCTGTGCCAATCTAGATGCTCTGTTCCGAAAATGCTTTTAACTGAAAACTTTTCCGTTAAAAGCATTTCCGGAAAATCATGCCAATCTAGACGCAGCCATTATGTATTAGACGACTTGTAAGATAAAATGTTTTAAAAGACTATTCTGTGCGTTGGGAGATGACTGTAGTAGCCATGAGCATTATGGCTGAAGCACAGCCTCTATTCTGACTTCGCTTTTCCAGTTGCTCATTAACATTCCCAAGCAAATCAGTTTGGAGCTGAAATTTGCTCAGAAAAGCATTTTGTTGTTGTTGTTTGTGAAAAATCAGAGGAACTGATTTAGAGATTTTTTTAATGTCTCCAATTCTAGGGCTTAGTCCTGCACCAAAAGCTTAGTTCAGCCTGAAAGCCTGTCTCTCTCACCAACAGAAGTTTGTCCATTAAATGATATTACCTCACTCACCTTGTCTCTCTAATAACTTGGGACTGACATGGCTACAACACTGCACAGTCCTGCACAAGTGAAGTTTTGTCACTGACTTGAGTGGAAACAAAAATCTGACAGCTATATGGAAGGAAAGCAAGAAGAGGTTCAATCATTGTTCTGTTTTAGCATTTAGGTTTGAACATAGTCTTGCCTAACCTGCCTCTCTCTCTCTAATGGATGCTTAATGTAGTTTTGAATTGCTAATCCATATTAGATTTCTTTTATGCCGAGTCATCCAGGACCAACATATGGTTGAGGAACAGGGAGGGGGGAAAATAACTGATGGAGGTGGAACTATTTCCCTTGCTAAGTTCTAGCACAGTGTCAAACAGATTTTGAACATAGTCTTGCCTAACCTGCCTCTCTCTCTCTAATGGATGCTTAATGTAGTTTTGAATTGCTAATCCATATTAGATTTCTTTTATGCCGAGTCATCCAGGACCAACATATGGTTGAGGAACAGGGAGGGGGGAAAATAACTGATGGAGGTGGAACTATTTCCCTTGCTAAGTTCTAGCACAGTGTCAAACAGATTAATCAGATGGAATCATTTTACTGCCTGGGTCATCGGAAG